AAGCTGAGCCACTCTGAGTGGGTCGTGTTGCTGGGTGTTCTCTGTCATCCACCTGGAATTTCCTCCCTGTGTGTCCCCTCAGCTCCCCGCCTCATCACATCCTCCCCCCCCCACCCCTGCATGAAGCATCCTCCCACCCAGGCCCCCGGACCCGTCAGGATGGACTGGTCAACCCGGAGGGTGGTGGATTTGATGGACAGGATCCGGATATCTGCAGGCACTTTGTCGCCCACTGTGGGAAGAGCAGACAAGAGTGAAGTCAGTTGAGGAAGGAGTTTTCTTCCTTCCCAAGAAAAGCCCAATCTTCGTCTCATTACCTTACCTCGTCCTTCGGGTCGCCAGGGCTGGGTGCCCACCCTGGGCTTGTGTCAGGCCCTTGGTGTGGGTTGCTGAAGCCCTAGCAAGCACCCCCCCCCCCAACATTCATTCCAATTGCCCCCTTGTCGCTTTTCTCCCCCTGGGGCTGTGAGCCCGTGAGTGGGCCCTGGGCACTGCCTGGCACATAGCACGTGCTGGATAACGTGCACCGAGTAGCCAAAAGGAAAATTAGGAATGGTCCAGTTGTGTGACGGGACAGCAAAACAGAAAGGGAAACAAGAGGGAGAAAAGTGAGGAGAGAAGGGCAAGAAAAGAACTCAAGAAAACGGTAAGTTTGAGGGACGCGCATCCGGGGGAGAGAATGCCATGGAATCATGGGGCAGGGGAACAACAAGAAATGGGAGAAAACATGGAAATTGAGAAAATCAGTGTCAAGCAGGACAAAAGCTGGAGCAAGGGGGAAGGGGGAGAAGGGGAGAAGCAGGAGGAGAGGGAGGAGCCGCAGGGGCAGAGGGCGCAGGTCCAGCAGGGCCTGGCGGAGGCCACACGACCGCACGCACGTTAGAAACCCGCCAGGCCCTGGTCTGAGCACCTGAGGGAAGGCAGGAAGCCTCGGTGAGTGAGCTGGGGAGATGGTGGGAGAGCAGGGGAGGTCTGCAGGAAACAAGGAATAGGGGGTGGGCTGGGGAAAGCCGAGCAAGCGTGGGGCAGGCCACGGGAGATCCACGGGGGTGGGTCAGTACGGGGAAACCACCTCGTGGGTGGGCTGACAAGGCGGGTAACGCCCCCCTGGACTTCAGGGCCTCTGGGGGGGCTAATCACCCCCCAGAGGCTCTGCTAATCCCGCCTGGTCCCACAGATGGTACTGGGGACAGGGTTCGCGGGGCCGTTTCCCTTTCCCTGTTTCTAGGGTCCCTCCTCCTATGCGGGAGGAAGCTGACGGAGGAGGGAGGAGGTGGCCACGGAGTTGGGCGGGACACCCTGTCACCCAAGCCCCAGCGATATTTATAGACGTTCATGGCACTGACTCCAAACTGTCACCGTGGCAGGGCGGCCCTGTAATGGCGCAGCGGGGTCTTCAGCCCGCCCTCCCTCCCTCTCCCCAGGTTGTCCATGGTGGCAACTTGGGAGTCTTGTGGAAGGAAGGAGGCCTAGATCCATCCCCCTATGCCAGGGCCCTAGAGATGTGGGAAGGCCTGTGCGGGGCCAATATAAAAACCGCTGAAGGGGGCAGAATCCCAGTAATCTTAGCCACCCGGCCCCCACCCCTCCCTGGTCAGGCATTAAGTGTCCCTCACCGAAGAGGCGGGGCCCCTCCTTGAGCTCCCTCCTCCCAGGTCTCGTGCTCCCTGCTGGGCCCTGAGTTTCCCTTACATGGTTGGGGGCTTGAGCCTCCGGCCCCCCTTCTCCCTTCTACCCTCACTCCTTCCCCTTCAAGAGGCCTCAAGGGCACTGAGAGGTCAAGATTTAAAGCTGACCAAGCTTGGGGGTGGGTGGAAGGAGCGGGAAGCCAGGCTTCGGGAGGGGGGTGGAGACGGGGCCATTGGCAGGGACTAGGTTCCACCTGTTGCTTGCAAGTGCTGGGTGAGAGGAGGGGGAGCAAGGGGTCCGCCTGGAGCGTCAGGGACAGGACTGGCTGTTCCTGCTGAGACTCTGACGGGGAGGGGTGCTGTGGCCACAGTGCCCTGGGGTGACCTCCCGAGGAGTCTGGGAAGGAGAGGCAAAAGTTCCACCATCCTGGCTACCTCCCGGACACCAGAATCAGCGGCCCCCACCCTCAACATACACATCCTCCCTGTCTTGAACTCAAGGCCTCCCTTCCTGGACCACTCACTCCCATCACTCACCAGCCACCTCCACAATGTCCCCAGGGACAATGTCCCGAGCCTTGATCCTCTGTACTGTCTTGCGGTCAGCCCGGTAGACTTTCCCCATCTCGGGTTCATATTCCTTCAGAGCCTCAATGGCATTCTCTGCATTACGCTCCTGGAGGGATAGGGTGGAGGAGAGGAGGGTCATCAGAGGGAGGAAGGTTGTAGAAGGGGAGGGGACTGGCTGGGGAGGATTAGGGTCAGGGGCCAGAGTCCTCGGAGAAACAGGGACAGGACAGAGGAAGAGCAGGTTATGCAGCCCTGACTTCTGGCATAGGGGAGTAAGACACACCTACCACGTGAAGGTAGGTGTGTGTGTCGAGGAAACTGTCACTTATGGCTGAAAACAGGTAAGGATGTTCAGAGGAGAGAAGAAAAGGGAATCAAAGAAAATCTGAAAGCAAGGGGCAGGAAAAGTAGAGGGTGGTAAGGTAAGAAGGAAAATCAAACTACATTTATTGAGCTGCTACTATATGCCAGGCACGGGGCTGGCTACTTCACACTCATCCTGGTACATTTCACCACAACTCTGAGGGACAGGATTGTTAACCCCACTTTATGAATGAGGAAACTGAGGCTGAGAGAGGTGAAGGAACTTGCCTGGGTTATCCAGCCAGCAAGTGACAGTGGGAACACCAGTCTGGGGGGCCCCCCCCCCTTTCCCACACTCCATCCCCTTTCCAAACCTGGCATTAGGAACAGAGAACAAGGCAAGCCCAGAGGAAGTGACGGAGGAGGAGGAGACTGGGAGGGAGGATGGCTTCATGTTTAGTGTCAGGATGTAAGGACTGAGGCGGGGTCACTGCTAACCTGCCAAACCCCCACGATGGCATTGGCAATGAGGATCAAGAGGATGACAAAGGGTTCAACAAAGGCAGTGATGGTCTCTTCACCTTCCTCGAACCAGGCCAGCACCTGGGAGCAGGGGAAGGGAGAATAGCAGGTGATAGAGCCCCCCGAACACATAAAGAAAGGCAGTGAGGCTGCGAAAGTGTGCAGGAGGCAACAGGGCTGGGCATCACGCGGGTACCGCAGCCCCGCATGTCTGAGGTCCTACGCGCTCCAAAGTGCAGACTCATAGGGGCACAGCCACTGCTGTTATGCAGCGGGAATGTGCAGGTGTAGACGTGTACAGCTCGGGGTTTAACTGGGAATGCTTTCGGATTTCCCTGGCCGAGCTGTTGGCCTGGAAACAAAGCTCGCAGGACACCCAGGCCAGCGACCCCCCACAACCACATCCATCCCATGGGAGACAAAACTCCACAGGGAAAACTCTGTGGTCCTCGCAGACGCTGACCCCCCCCCCCCGCCAGCCCTCCCCAACAGCCCAAGGCAGGGAAGCTCCAATTTCATGAGGGAGCAGGAGGGGGGATAGTGTTACGGGGCCTCCTGTACACACCCCACCCCAGCTGTTGCCACTGCCAGGCAACAGCTACAGGCAAATGTCAAGGAGCAAATCTGAGAAGGGAGAAGGGAGGCCCTGCCAGCTAGTACTCAGGGGCCTCCAGGGCCTCCATGACGGAGAGCAGGGGACAGGGAGACATCTTGGCCCCCAGTCTTGTCTTCCAGCAGGACTAAGATGTTAAGGAAGAAACTCTAAAAGATGGGCTGCTGGAGTGCTCGGTGTCGAGGGGGGCTCCTGGGCCAGACAGGTGTTGGTCCTGCCGTTAGGAGGGGCCCGGCGAGGGCGAGTAAGGTCAGGCCAGCGGGGTGAAGGGGGGGGGGGGGGGCAGGAGTCCCAGTCTGGACAGCGGGGCCGGAGCGAAGCCCGGAGACAGGTAAGGGGTCCGGCTGGGCCTTCTGGCACATCTGGGGGCACCCTCACACCAGCAGCTCTTTCCCGCCTCTGGGAGGGAGTCTTTGCCCTGACCAATCGGCGCCGAGAGGGCGGGGCAGGGGGGCCAGGAGGCTCGGGGATTGGTGGAGCGGCTGTGCGCCCCGGGGCATGCCGGGAGCGGCGGTGGCCTGAGCGCAGCGGTGTCTGAGCCCTGAGCCGGGGAGCCCAGCGTTTGGGTGGGGTAACCCGAGCCCTCGAAGCCCTTGAAGCTGCGGGGGTGGCTTAGCTTCAGTGTTTTGGCCGAGAACACCCTTAAAGCTTAAAATAAAACCTGCCTGTGGGGTGTGGGGAGGACCGAGGCGTATGCGCATCAGCACGCCCCCCCCCCCCCATACCCTCCTCGGCTCTGGTTTGGGGAACAGGATGCCGAGGGCTTGGACCAGAGGGGCCGGAGCCCCCCGCTCCGCCCCCCGCCGCCCCGTGGATGCTCCAGATCCCCGACCCACACCCCGGCCGGCCCCAGATGCCCTCCCACACTTACGAAGGAAATGCAGGCGGCCAGGAGAAGGATCCGCACCAGGAGGTCTTCAAACTGCTCTATCACCAACTCCCACAGGGACTTCCCTGGGAGAAGAGGCAGGGGAGGGGGCCCCCACGGTTAAGGTCTGGTGGATGAATGGCTGGGACTCCAGGTGCAGGCTGGGATCCAGGGGCTGAGAGTGGCCTGATTTCCACAGCCTAAGCAGGAAGGTTCTGGGGGTGATGGGCAAGCCGCTTGGTACTGAGAGAAGGACTGAGGGAGCTCGCCAGGAGTCCAGAAACCGGCTCCCCAAAGTTGTGGTTAGTTGTTCAAGGGCTGGAGTCCTCACAGAGAAAGTACCTGGAAACTCCTGCCCCCAGCCAGCCTTTATTTAACCTTTGGGGAGGGTATTTGCCCCAGGAGTCAGTCGGGAGAAGGTGGGGAGAAGGGAGTGGGGGGTGTGGGGAGGAGTGTCATTAAGAGAGTCCAGAGATTCCAGTAACTTACCTTCCTCAGCAGGGAGCTCTACCCAGGGAAAAAGAAGAAAAAGACACATTCATTTGGGGCTCAGTCTGATGTGCCCCCCCCCCCCCGGATTCTGTGGCTAAGGTAAGAGAATCAGGTCACCAAAAGGGCATCTGAGGTTCACCAAGGTCATCCCAGAAAACCTCCCAAAACTCTGAGCCTCAGGGACCCTGTTTTGTCAGTATCCTCTTAACCCCTGCAGTCACCGGACCATGGCCAACCTCTTCCCTGAGGTACTCGGGAGGGAGAGACTCCAGTGTGTCTAAGTGTGTGAGTGTGTGTCTATGTCTGTGTTGTGGGGGAGCAAGAGGGCGTTACCAGCCTTTCATCTAAGAGACACTTACCATTGGGGCCGTATTTCTCTAGGTGCCGCTTCACTTGGTCCGGCGTCAGGCCTGTAGTCTCGCTCACCCCAAAATAAGCCAGACATTCTTCTGTGGTCTTGGAGTGTGCAGCCTCCATTGTGCTCCCTTCCTGGGGGCCAGGGGGCGGTGTGCTCCTTCTGGGGAGTTCTCACGCGTTGGGGGTCTTCCTCAGTGCGTCCAACTGCCTGTTTGTCTGGGTTTCTTGTTTTTTCTCTCCTGCCCCCCCCAGGATTTTCTTCCCTCCACGAAGCTCTGACCCCTGTCCCACTTGCAGCAGCCGGCCACCCCCCCAGCCCCCAGCTGGTCCTTATGAGGGAGTAGGGGGGGCCAGGCTCCCCCCGCCCAGATCAGGGATTGGCTGGCTAAGACTCCGGCAGGAGGGGTCAGAAGAGAGATATTTCTGCTGACAGAGGGGGAACAGTGGGGCTGCAGCCTGAGATGTCACTCATGAGGGAAGCTAAGGTGGCCCCAGCCCCAGGGAAGGGGGGGGCAGGGAAAGACTTCACTTTCTGTCTTCTGCTGACCCCTCCCCCAATTGCCTGGACTTCCTTGGTTGTACCGAACTTCCTGTTCCAAACTCATGCCCCCAGTTCTTCCCGACTTCTACCCTCAGGCCTCCACCCTTCTCTTTCTCCGACCCCCATCCCGTTCCACCTACTCTCAACCTGTTTCTATTGTGACAGTCTCCTTCTTCCTCACCCAGTCTGCAGATACTCCAACCTTCAGGGGACTGGAGAGGAGGACAACATCCTTTTGGGGGCCAGAGGAAATGGTTCTAGAGGGACAAGGGGAAGTAGGGAGGGGAGAGGGTCAAGGGGACAGGGCAGAAGATGGTAACCCTACCCTCGGGAGGGGTTGCTGCAGCCATCAACAAGGGATTTAGTGTCCAAGCCCTGGTGAGCAAAGCCAGGACTGCCTGTCTCTCCCCCAAACTACCCCCCCCCTCCCCATTGCTCTAACTCAGCCTCTGGGAATGTAGCCTTCGGGGGCCCCCCCATCCCTGATAGGGAATCCCCCCCCCCCAAGAAAATGGGATACCCAGACAGCCAGGTAATCCAAGAGGCTACAGAATGTGCTGATGGCAGAGGGAGAGGGATAAATGTTTCAGGTTGGGGGCGGGAGTCACCCCCAGTCATGGAATGAGGGTCACCTCATCCCCCACTGTATTCTTTAATTCAAGGGGCTCACATGGCAGACCCCAGATGATGTGTGGTCTGCACTCCCCCCGACCCTGAAGTATCTCCTCCAGGGGAGAGAGGATCAGAGCTGCTCAGGTGCCGGGCACATCCCACAGGAAGAGGCATGAGGGAGGAAGGGGTGTCAAGGGAAGGGGGCTGGCAAGCTGGATAGGGTAGAGGTCCCAGACGGGAGGAATGGGGAGGGGGCAGCTCGATGGGGACAGGTCTAGGGGAAATAAGGACAGAACAGAGCTGGGGAAACAGAGACAGGGCTGCCCGGGTCAGAGGGAAGTCTGAGGAGCAATGGGGAAAAGGGACAGCAGGGAGCTGGCATGCGGCAGCCAGGTGGGTGGGGGCCCAGGGCTGGGTGCAAAGCCACAAGTTGTTGCTGAGCGGCTGGCCTTGGTGTCAGCTTCCTGGTAGAAGCAGCTGCTCTGAGCCCCCCACCCCCACCCCTGCTCCGGGATGGGGGCGTCTTTTGGTTGCTACCAGGGCAGCTGCTGGAGGAGCAGAGGGTAGCCTGGGCTGTGGGCAGGGGAGGTAAAGGAGGGCGGAGAGAGGAGAGGTTCAGTGAGAGTAGCAGTGGAAGGTCAGGGAAGGGAAGAAGGAGCCTCAAGTCCTTCCTGCGTCTAGGCCTCCGGCTTCCTAAGATGGACAGTCAGCAGTCCAGGCCACAGAAAGGGTTCTCCAGGCTGCTTCCCTCCCTGGCACTCAAGTTCGTAAGCAGACAATGGCAGAGGAGACGGCGAGCAAAGGAAAGGGAAGCCTCACTTTGGGGGAGCGGGCTGGCCAGCAGGGGTGGGGGGCACTTAAGGATTTAGCCCCCCATACTTATCCTTCTCTCTGCCTGGACTTGGGGGGGAGGGGAGCCTTCTGGGTGAGTTGAGGACACGGTGCTCCTTCTGTCCCCCTTTTCATGGTTCTAACAAACCCCTCCCTTAAGCTGTGACCTGGGGATGGGGGCTCAGACAGTGGGGTCACATCCACAGGCACCTCCATCTGGCCCAGCACCCACCTTCTTAGGCCAGAATCAGGCTCAGCATCTGCCAAGCCTTTTGGTGCTCTCTGGCTTCTCCCCGCCACCACCTGGAGAAGTGACAGGGGCACAGTCTTAAAGGAGCAGGAATGCCCAAACATGGAGAAGGGGGGGAAGACTGGAGGGATGGCAGCTTCGAGGGAGTTGAGAGCAGGAGGCCGAAGGGAGGAAGGCTTTACAGGACACTGCTGCCAGCCGGGCCCTTTAAGGTGACTCCTACCTCCCCCAACTTCCCAGAGGGAAAGCTGAAGCCAGAGAGGGAGAGCCACACGACAAGAGCTGCAAAAGGCTGGCCGTCAGGGAGCCTGGGGGTGCGGACCGGGAAGGCACTGGTTCTCTTGGATCCCTCCCGCTGGGGTCTCCAAGCCCACGGTTGTGGGTGTGCCTCCCCTCCTATGAGGGCTGAAGCTAATGGGAGAGGCCTGGTTCTGAAGGACAGGGACATAGAGCCTGGCCACTCCCTGACCGGTCCCAAACTTCAGCTCAACCATCCTTATAGCAAGGCTAGAGGGAAACAGTCTCTGAGGCTCTTCCAGCCAAGATATGCAGGTCCTGGAGTGCGGGGTGCTCCTTGTCCCCCTCCCCCACCCACTTCAGAAGGCAGGTTCCTGACGCTGGCGGGGGTTTAGGGGGAGGGGGAGCCTCATAGCACCAGTTGCTGCTAGATTAGGAGGGGATCATGTCCTCCTTACCCTGGGGCGCCACAGCCTTCACTCACCACCTCACTTTCCAGAATACAGCACCCAGATGTCCATACCATCCCCTCCTTTGCAAGGTCAAGTCTATCCCCAGTCTCCTGAGGCCAAGGTTTGGGGGAGCCCCAGGGGTTAGACAAAACTGGGAGAGCCAGCAGGCTTCCCCCAGCTAGCCCCCAGCCTGGGTGGCCTGTGAGCCCAGCTGTCTCCTGTCCATCTCCCAACAGGACGCAAGGCCCAGAATAGCAAGGTCATAAGCATGGGTAGGGCCTCCTGGAGGTGGGGGAAACGGTGGCTGAGGGGCGTGAGAACGTAGGCTCCCTGCTTCCCCGGGGAAGGAAGGTGAGAGGCAGCGCTGGGTGGAGGTGAGGAGGGGAGAGGACGAAGCACAACAGGCGGGATTCTTCGGAACCCGGCCCCTCCTTGTGGACACCCACCACCCACAGGGCTGGGAAACCCATGGCTGCAATTCAGCTCAGAGAGCAGAGCCTGGGTTTAATGGGGGCGCTGCAAGGAGTGAAAGGGGTTGCAAACTCCTGCCCACGGGGCTGGGAAGGCCACGTGAGTGAAGTGGGCCAGTAGGGATGGAGCAGATGTGGAAAGAGAGCGGAGGAGCACGTGAGGGTGGATCTTCTGATTTTCTGGAGAAGCCAGTCATCTGAACTTGTAGGTGAAATCCCAATGGAAACACTATCCAGGCCAAGCAAATCATATCAGCAGCTCCAACCCAAACGAAACTTCCCATTTTACAGGTGAGGATACTGAGGCCTGGCGAGGCTAACACCTGGCCTAGGCCAAACAGCAAAGGAGAGGAAAAGCTAGGAGTGGAAGCCAGTGCTCTCTGTCATCTACCCCCCAGCTTCCCAGCCTGGCCCCGAGAAGGGGAGCAGCCAGCCTGCCCTGGGCCCCTCCGCAGCCAGACTCTGTGGCTGCCACGTTCAACCTCTCCCAACACGGCCACTGTGCCCCAACCCCGCCCCCACGATCTCCCTCTGCCTGCTTTCTCCCTCGGGTGGGGAGCCTTAACTGAAGAACTTAGAGCAAGAAGGGTCCTTGGAGGTTGCCGATCCTGCTGTTCACTGTCCGGTCCCGTTAAGAGAACTTGGCCGCAAACCCCGAGAAGCACTATTGGGCTCTGCACTTACCGCTCAACAAACAGGACCGCCCACGGGGGAGCAATGGGCCGAAAGCACAGGGCTAGAGGGCAACAGGGACTTGACCTGACACAGCCTTCTGGCCTCTCAGCTCTGGAGCGGGCAACGCCGAGTGGGCTGCTTTCCTGCCCCACCTGCCCCAGCCCCCGCTGCAAACAGTGGCCACAGCCATCACGACGGAACTGAGATAAACCCTTTTATTTATTTATGCTTCTCCATTTTGTTTAAAACAACAACAACAACCACCTTAATATAACGGACAGCCCTTCCCCCTCACCCTTCCTCGGGCTGGGGGGGTGGTTAATGGGGAAAAGGCCCCCAGGGGTGGGGCTGACCATAAGAGCCCCTCAGGGAGGTAATGGAGCCCAAATCCCCTGCCCAGGGGATGGGGCACCTGTAGTGTACGAACCGGGGAGTTAACAGGGCTCTTGAACCTCTTCTTGTACCAACATATATGCCCTTGGCGTCAAGGGTCAGGAAGCACGTGGGGAGGGGATTCCTACCGCTCCTCTACATCCCTGCCCAGCCCCAATCTCATGAACTAAGGGCTGGGGAGCAAGAAGAGTGGAGAAAGAGCGGGGTAGGGTGTCTCACACGAAGGAGTACTGGTTATTAATGGCTCTGGGATGGCCCCCTTCTTCTCCATCGCCCCCTAGTGGTAACTGCTGCAGCTGCACCATTGGGGTGGCCCCGGGGTCCCCACCAGATCCAGCGCCTCCCGGGGCCTCCGTGCCTGGTGCTACGGCCTCTTCCAATTCAACCACGGGGACCAGCTCAACCACGGGGACCAGCTCTTCCTGGACCCCTCCACTGCCCGCTTTCTCTTTCTCTTGCCTCTCTTTGGCTGCTGCGGCTGCTGCTGCCGCCACTTCTGGCGCCCCCGACGCCTCTTCTGCCCCAGGATGTGGGGGATCTGTCCATGAAGGGGGTTCAGGGGGCTGGGGTGGGTCATGGGAGGTGTTCGGTTCTGGATAGGAACGGTAAGAAGACAGACTGTGGAGGGGAGGCCAGCTCTTGCGGCGGCCTCCCCTGCACTCATCCCCCCAGAAGCCACGTGCTATCTCCCCCACATCCCGTCTCCTGAGCAACCCCCCCCCCATCCATGGAAGATGGATCATGGGCGGCGGTGAGAGGAGGACCACACTTACACACAGTCACTCGCTCCGAAGGGCATGAGGGTGGAGGAGGCATCGGGGTAGCATCGATCTCCCTCGCACACCCCTGCATGGCTCCCGGCCTGCTCCCGGCCTGGGGGAGGGGGAGGGGCAACGTGGGGACAGATGGGACGTTGGGGTGGGGAAAAGGAGAGATCAGACAGGGACGTCAGACATCGAGGGAGGAGGGAGGAGGGGGGAGGGGGATCAGACCGAGCATCCCCCAGGAGGGCAGGCCCAAGGTGAGATTGTGACAAAGGGCAAAGACAAGGCTGGAGAGGACTGATCCAAGAGACACACAGATGATGGAACAGAGGGGTCTGATGGAATGGGGATGCACCGGCCCAGCTTCTGCTTCCTCCCGGCTCCAGTGAGGAACCTCTGCCTCCCTACGTCCTCAGTGTCCTGCTTCCCCTCCGAAAGCCCAACACCCAGGAGCCTGCTCTGCCCTACTCTCCCTAACGAAGCCTCTCCTCCTCACAGCCCCCCGCCCCGTCTTGCTGGCACACACACCTCCTCGCTTCTTGGGTGCACGGGCACCTCCTCCCCTGCAGACCTGCTCTGCTCACCCTGCTGTCGCTGGGAGGACACGACATAGCTGACAAGAACAACGTCACTGGAGCCTCCAGACTCCAGAGGGATGGGGTGCACTCGGAAATGCTCGAGCATATCGAAAATGGACTGGAACCACAAGTGCTGGACCCGGCACTGACCCTCCTCGTTCAGCGACAGGCGCAGGTGCTGAGGGCAGGATGAGCAGAGTGAAGCGGGAGCCCCTCTCCCCTGCACGGCCACGTTCCCCCACTCCACCCGCGGGCTCACTGCGTGCCGCACGGCCTCTTCCTCACTCACCTTGGCCTTGCCCTGGAAGTTGAAAGTGAGGACGTATTCACCCCGTCTCGTCTCACTCTGACGTACCAGGAAGACGCCATGGGAGCCGGTGCCTCCGGCCAGCACTAGCTGGGCGGCCTTGAGTCGAGAGAGCATCCCGTGGAACCAAGGATACCCTGAGAGGGGCTGGTCCCCTTCACCTCCCTCTGACTCCCCCTGGAACAGGAATGATCCTTCAGGAAGGAGAGAGGGAGGGAAACCGGGGTGTCAGGGAAGCCTCCCCCATCCTGGGAGAAGAAAAGCCTTGCTTTCCCCTCACACATCACCTCCCTCCCCCGGGTCAGATCCTTCAGGATCCCGAGAGGAGAGTCTCCCGAGGGCGGGCAACCGGGCCTGGACGCAGACACACACTCTCACCTCTGGTACCTGTGGCCGTCTCCGGAGTGTCCAGGGGTGGGTAGGGAGCTGAGAGGGGATGGGCTGTGCCTGCTGGGGGTCCCTCTTCGATGGGGATACGGGGGGGCAACTCTGGGGGAAGCAGTTCCATGGAGTCAAAATGGGAGGCGGCGACGGAGGCGGAGCTGGGGGAGATGGACGCCGAGGGGCGGTCTGAGAGGCCCCCGTAAGCCCCTGGAAAACAAGGGAGGAGGGCCAGGTTGAGAAGCCGAGAAACTACTCTCTGCCAGGACCGGTCGGCCACCAGCCAGTCTGTCCTGCGCGCACCGGCACGGTTGGCCGGCCGGCCGGGATGCCGGGTCCTTCTGTCGGCGGCGGCCGCTGCTATTCTCCCCCTCTGGCTCCTGACTTCGGCCTCAGGCCCTGCTGAGGGACCACAGACGGACCGTCCGGAGGGCCTGGAGTCCAACGCACCTCTAGTTTCTCGGAATCGACAGCTGAAACGACAGCGACTGTCGCGGAGGTGGGCGTCGCGAAGAATCCCTCGGATATTTTCGCATCACATAGGGTCCTTTTCCGGCCTTCAGGACCAACTCTCCAACCCTCAGAGACGTCAGAGATCCTCCTACCGATGTGCCCAACCTAGGCGACCTGACCTTCACGTTAACTCGTGTCCCTGTGCCCTCCATGCTAGCCTGAGCATCCTGTCCGATTTGCCCAGGGCTCCCGGGCTCCCCCGCCCCCATTGCAGGGCTGTGCTCTCGCCCTCTGCCTCCTCCTCCAAGCCCTGTTCTTTCCTCTCACCTCCTCTGTGTAGTATCCTGTCTATCCCACCTTCCCCGACTCTCCACTTCCTCTGAGCTCCCGGGAAGCTCTCTGCCTGTGCTGCTCAGAGAACACTAAGTACAGGCTCTCCGTGTCAGCGTCCTGCTTTCCAGAGGGAGCGAGAGCCCGTCAACTCAACTAGACCGGGAGCCCACGGAAGGCAAGAAGCTCGTCTCAGGCATCTCCGGGCTCCCCTATCCTGCCCCAGAGCCTCGCACTAGGTCAGGGAGGTAGCAGGGCGTTGCTGAATGTCTGCCGGTGGCAGGCCTGAGCCTACGGCAATGGCGTACGTTGTCAGCGCTCAGAAGACAGGTGTAGTGGTGCAGGAAGCGGACCGGCGTGGCCCCCGTCTTTGTCAGTGACTCTCAGGTGACCTCAGAAAAGCCATTTCCCCTCCCTGGTCTTAGCTGCCTGAGGGGTCTGGAAACGAGGAGATTGGACCTAATGACTCGTAAGGTCCATCCTAGCTCCAACATTCTTTAACCCATTTGTTTCCTCAGTGATCACAGCCAGGCACCATGAACCCTAGACCCAGAACAGAGGAGCAGGAGAGAGAGTATAACGGAGTCTACAAAGGTGAACTGGGCCAGGCAGATGCACGTCTTTGGGCGTGCCTGTGTGTGGGTAGGGCCTGTGCATCTTTAGTCAGGCCAAGAAGTACAGAGTCGAGAGAAGATCTCGTGCTGTTGACACGTGTACAGAAATGCACGGTAAGAACAAAACAAAGATGTGTACAAAGTGTTCCGGGAGCTCAGAGAAGAGAACCACTATGTCCAGCCAGAGTGGACATCTGCACAAGGCTTACGGAAAAGGAGAAAAGGCCGGACACGGAAGGCTGGACGGGAGTTCACCTGGGGTTCGTGCGAGGCGGCGATGGCGACGGTTCTAAGTGGCAAACTGCGGTGTGGCACGTACGGGGACAAGGGACGGGCAGTCGGTGGGTGACAACAGGCGGCTGAGGGGTGGGACTGGGGTGCGCGGTAGAGTCGGGAGGGAGGGCCTGGGCCTGGCACGGTGGGGTTCTGAAGTTCACAGCGCTCTAAGGCTCCGCCCTTACCCTGCGACAGGCGGTCATTGCTCTCGCTGGGTCCCAGCAGCAGATCCTGGCTGGGCAGGCTCTCTGAGTGATTGAGGCAGGGCAGCTCCAGGCTGTCTGTGTTCTCCCTCGTAAGGAATGAGGTCCCAGGGGCCAGGGGGAGGGTCATGGGGCGGGGACTGGTAGCGGGGCAGGGTCTGCAGAGACAGGGAAAATGATGTTGTGAGACAACTCACCAGTGACAGCCCCAAGGTTGCTCCCCACCCCCACCGGGTCCCCTCAGTGACAGCAGTCAGGCCCCTCACTCACCCCGGGCTCAGGCATTCTTGGATGTCAGACACCCAGGCCTTCACATGTAGAGCATCAACTGTCTCCAGGATGTACTCGGAGGGGCCTTCCACCTATGGGGAAAAGAGGAGGCCCACGGGCCACTTCCAGGTCCGGAGGCCCTTAGCCACCCCTGCTGACAACAAGAACACCCTCCCCCCCTTTCCTCCTCCCGGAGGGGCTACTGCCCCAGACACACTCTCGAGCCCCTGGGCAACATACAGGCCACCTCCTGTCACCAAGTTCCTTGTTTCAGTGTGCTGTCCTAGCTTTCTCCCCGGAACAAGCGCTCCCCGAGGGGGCAGGAGCCCAGAGCCCCTACCTTAACCACAAACGTGTTCTCCCGGTCAGGCATCTCCAGGGCTGTGGTTGTCCGCACGTCTGTGATGGTAGAGCAGGGAATGCTGAGTCGAGGCCGAGATGCCTAAGTTGGGAAAGAAAGCAAGAGCCAAACTTTCGGTGTGCAGGGACCCCCTTTCACTTCCCTCCAGAGACCCATCTTTCCTCCCAAGCCCTAAGGGAGTCAGACAAAGGACCACAGCACTACTTTTGCGGTCCTGCCCACAGCTGCTCCCCCAGAGTCAGGAGCTTTAGAAACCAAAGCGAGCAGGGCTACGCGTGTGGGCTGTCCCACTCC